GCAGGCCTTTTAATGTAAACACGGCGGCACTGCAGCACTGGCGCAGTTAACATGGCAAATCATAGGGTATTGTGATGTCAAGCATGGGGGGCGGCAAACTTTACTTTTGCCTAGGGCGGCAAAAATCCTTGCACCAGCCCTGGCTGGAGGGTGCTGTGTGAGCTGTGGCCGCATAGTGTCCCATGGTAGTTAGGGTGCCGTACAGCTCACACAAGCAAACAGCTGATAAACTGGCCGCACAGAGGAAATGTGTATGTGTGACTGTCTGCCTGTGACTGTGTGTGACTGTCTGCCTGTAACTGAGTGTGTGACTGTCTGTCTGTAACTGAGTGTGTGACTGTCTGCCTGTAAATGTGTGTGTGGGGCTGCAGGGATTTTGTAGAAGGGGGCGGGGTTTTGTATTGGGATAGGAGTCTTTATAAGGGGGGATAAGCAGGGGATTTGTGGAAGGGGGTTGCGGGGGTTTTGTAGACGAGGCAGTACAGGATTTGTAGAAGGGACAGGACAGAGGTTTTGTAGGAGGTGCAGGACAGGACAAGGGTTTGACAGCGGTTTTGCAAAGTTTACAAATTGTAAAAAAAAAAAAAAAAGTTTAACCTTAAAAAATTTTTACCGCTTAAAAGGTGCCAAGCACAGGATCCGCCCCGGGTGCCAAATGCTCTAGGTACGCCCCTGGTTTAAACCATCATCTTTTTTGTTACCTGGCTTTTTAATATACGTTTTATATACATTTTATACTATATACTTTTATTATTTTTTAACTCCTGCATACTATACTCCAAAGAATCCTAGGTGGGGATCATACCACCTACGCTGTCACATAGAGCAGTTAGCCTGTCCTATACATTCTCCTATACATTCTCCTGATATTCTTGCGCGCATTCAGCCGGTCACATAGGAAAGCATTCATAATGCTTTCCTATGGACGCTGGTGTGCTCTCACTGTGATTTTCACAGTGAGAAGCACGCAAGCGCCTCTAGCGGCTGTCAATGAGACAGCCACTAGAGGAAATAGGGGAAGGCTTAACCCATTCATAAACATAGCAGTTTCTTTGAAACTGCTATGTTTATGAAAAAATGGGTTAACCCTAGCTGGACCTGGCACCCAGACCACCTCATTAAGCTGAAGTGGTCTGGGTGCCTAGAGTGGTCCTTTAAAGGTACAGAAGGTGGTCCATAACAAAATGGTGGAGTTAAGGTAAATGGACATTCTTTTTTCTACCTATTTAAACACCACTCTTCCAAGAACTCATTGCTCAGATATACTGTGCTCCTGTTGTGTTAAGACCTTAGGTGACTACTCTGCTGTATCCTGCTATTGACCTTTGCCTGACTTATCGCTTCTGAACCTGTGCTGCCTGTCCTGATATTTTGGCTTTTCTGAATATTCTCGGTACTGCGAATCTGGTTTACATTCTTTCAGCGCTCTTCTGCATCGTGGGCTTCGTCTACTAAACAGTGATTCTCGACAATATCACATTTTAGATCTGGCCTCAAATGTAAAATTAATTTTGAATTCTCACTTTAGTAATTAACACTTCATTTTATTTTTCACCTTTCACAAATACATATTTGTAAATTATAGATAAGTAAACATAATATTAAAAAGAAAACCCTGGAAAGTGACAACTCCCATTTATAGCTTCAACATTCACCCCATGCATTGAAGGAAACATTAGAGGCAGATGTTCAGTAAACCATGAATTGTGAAGAACTGGACATGGAATTGCAAATTGTAGACTAAAATAGCCGCATTGGAAAAATATGAAATATCAGTGTTTTCCCATTGCTACTGTTATGGCCTACTATTCAACATCCATTTCCTCATAATACCAGGTTTTAATGAATAAATAGGCTTGTAAATATTCTTTTGAAGACATGTAAATTATCCATTCATATTACCGAATAAGTAGCAGTCTGGTATGTTGCTTGTTAGATTACTTCAGTATAGATGTGACTGAAGGCTATTATTGAAAAATCTAACATATCATCACATTATGCTTTTATGTGGCAGATTAATGAGTTAGAATTATAACTAGGTCAGTTCTGCTCATGGAATGTTTGATTAAGTAGCTGTCCTAAGCATGAGCTGGGGTGGGGGCTATCGCTAACAATGCTGTCAGTTATTATTATTGGTAAGGTATACATTCACCAGCATGGTGTGGCAAACCAAAAACAGGGTTACTCCAAGCACCATCATCACTACAGCCTGCTGTATGCCATTTGTTGGCTGAGAGCTAATGAATGGCACACTCTGCATGGCAATAAGCACAGCATTGGCATTAAACAGTCTGGAACTCTGGCCTCTCTGGCAGAAAAGTTGTTAATGGCATTAGACAGTCTGGAACTCTGGCAGCAAAAGGGTTAAACTCATACTAAATGCTGGTTTCATACAAAAATGCTGCACATACTGACTACAGGCACCATAATCACTTCATACCAGCCTTTTGCCAACATAGCCGCCATATTTCCAACACAGTCATTTTTCCGGCAGTTTTGTGTTTCATTTCACTCCGACTTCACTGTTTATTGAATATCCTTTAAAGAATACAATAAATGCACATGTTCACTTTTTATTAATGTTGTACATCATAGCTAAATGCCATATAACTTTTTATGTGATTATGGAATATAACTCGGTGGTGTAGAGTTTAAGTGCTGTACACAGTTAAAATTACAAAGAATACAGCACAACCTCAAATTACAGAAAGCACAATCACAAAGGGATTCTCTTTTTGAAGTGCAAACAAAGTACAATATTTTATACAAAGTGTATTCAAGTTGATACTTCCATTAAAGTGCATATAATTAACTGTAAGTAATAACAAAGTGCACAGTCAGCATATACGTATATACCTTTCACTGTTATGTTGTGAAAATACCAAATTAATCTTGGTATGTCAGTTTCACAAACTAACGTTCAGGGGGAAAATAAAACAACAAACAAACAAACACAGTGCAGACAATATACATATCCAAAGCAATACAGAACTGTGTATCAAACACAGGTAATACCCACCCACATTCTTTATAGTCTTAAATGAATGGCTCTTGTATATAGTGCGGTGGACTCACTCACAGGTGCAAAAATACATAAATTGAGATGAAATAGAGACATAAGAAGTATGCCCTTCTCC